GGAAATGAAACTAATAATATGAAAATACATTACATATATAAATTAAACTATATCTTTGACACAAAATTTCATTAGTATCAAATATATTTTTTTATAACAACTTTCTATCAGGTATAAAAATTGTAAAAAAAAGAAACTTTTTATATTAATTAATTATAATCCTAATAAAAAGTTGACGCAGTGAAATAATTGTAATAAATCTATAAAAACTTTCCATAAAGGTATCGCGAGGGTTTCATTATGGTTATTGATTTGCGATTTAGGGTTTTGTGTGGTAGTTGGAAGCGTGAAAATCGCGGTGCAATTATGGTAGTGCAAGATAGGGTTCTTCTACTCCTTCATGGAGTTTTAGATTCACGTTTTACAGCAAATCATTTTGGAATGACAACTTTCATTTTGTTGTTTACATTAAAATAAAATTTCTTTCTTAAAATAAATTATTGAATTTTATTAGTATATAAATAAATAAAAAAACCCGATCACGACATTTTCAATTAAATGTTTTTTTTCCATAAAATTAGTCATTGAGAATAAATACTACATATATTTTTTTATCCAATTTGACATCAAACGGTGATTTCTTGTGAGTAAAAAACTCAAATTCGTTCTCTATCAATACTACCTTTTGCTTGCTACATACATGCACTTTATACTTATAAAATGATACCATTAATAAGTTGAATGAGACAAGTTCAAGTTGCCATAATTAATTATCAAGAAAAAAAAAATATAATGCAAATAATCTTTACATGCAATGAATACAAATGAGTGAATGAATCTATAAATAGCAAGATGAAGAACAATTTTAAAGTGTGAAGGGAAGTGTGTTGATATGGACAAGAGAGAAGCATTGAGAATTCTAAAAGAAAGATGAAGAGAAGAAACCTATAGAAGAGAAAGAACTCAAAACTCAGTAAGATTTTCTCTCCTTTTATAGCAAAATTTATGGTTGTTTCTTTTGATCTTGGTGTGAAATAGAAAATGAAGATGTTTTAATAAAGTCTTAAAGAAAAACTAGAAAATAAACTATATTATTAATTTTATATATATTGAAATATTGTAATATACCCTTTTTTATTGATTTTTCTTTTCTTTCAATCATGATTTATCCATCTACAAAAGTTAAATATTAAAAACCTTATTAAAAAAAATTGAGTTTAGAACACTCAACCAACATTTTATTGTTATATATACAATTCTTTATGTGGTCTTCACTTAGGTAATATACATTAATATTTAATAACTATTCTAGTGTTAGTTAAATACATTTTGATATGTTTGGAGAAGAATAACCTTATTTTTTTTCCTCACCTTTCAAAAGAGATCATAATTGAAGCCACATATTAATGAACTAAATATAAAAAATAATAACTTGATTACTTTCTATGTGTTAGCTTTTTCTTCTATTTTTCTATGATGAATTGGGTGAGTGGCTATGGTCTTTAAGAGTATATAATAACCCTCTTTTTATTTTTTATTTATTTTCAAAGAACTATTTTTAGACCTAATTTAAAATTGAAGTATTGAACCCACCATAGTTGGACCCCTTGGTATGATTTAAAGACAATATAATTTAATTGGGTCACGCTTCATCAATAATGAATAGATATTTTGTGTGCATTAAAACGCATTATAAAAAAAATTGTTTCATTGGAGAAGCTTTTTTTTTTGGTGATAAGTATTCACGAATTTAATAATGATTAACTTTTATAATCATATAATTTCTAAATTATAATTTAATTAGTATTTTAGTTTATATGGTTTACGTACGTAATATAAATGCTCATTTTTAAGTGATTAAAGTTCTTATGCAAATAATATTTTGAATGTATAAAAAACATTATGCTTTTTAATTTATAAAAAGAATATGATTTTTAATTTATAAAAGATATTTTAAATTTATAACTAGAATTTAAATCGTTGCATAACTAAAAGTGTATAAAGTTGACTCTTTGAAACTTCTTTTAAGAAAAATATTCATATTAATTTAAACTGTGATAGATGAAAATAAGTGATTAAACATATTAAATATATAAATAAAAAAATAAAAGAAAATGGTAGGTTGAAGTTGTCGAAAGGATTTATTGTCGCTAACGTGACTTTGATAACACTAAAGAGACAACTTTATATGTTTCTCATTTGTTTTCAGATTATTCAAAAGAAATTAGTGAAATTTATCGATTTTAGTTATTTTAAAATCCTTGCCATGCCTTTTAATGTTCAATTATGATATACCTATTTATAAAATACAAAGTTACTACATAAGTTAAATATTTTGGTTTTGAAATTTAACCAACCAGTTGTACTATTTAAACCCTTTATACTATTTACTCATCCAACCAAATTATAAAGACTCTAAAAATATTTATTATTTACATAATAAAAAATATTATTTAAATCTTTTTAGAAAAATTGTGAAAAATGTCTAAAAAGAGTCATCTAAAAGCATATTATATATATATATATATATATATATATATATATATATAGAGAAAAAAAAAAACTCATTTCTGAAAATGTTTTCCGAAACGTTTTTAATGTATTATGGAAATCTCTTTCCAAAATACAATTCATTTAGACATTTCTAAAAAAACTCATTAATTTTAGAAATAAAAAAGACGTATAGTTTATAAGAAATTCTTTTACCAAGTTTCTCTATTTTTTAAACTTATATATAATTTAGTTCTAATTTATAAAAAGAACTCCTCCAATATATTAATATTATATTTAGTTAAATATTATTATGGAACTAATAAGTATAAAGTTAGAAGTAATGGAGCACTAATTCTCATATTTGGAGTTCCATTAACAGCCAAAGACCTTAGTCACCTACTATTCGAGTTTTCCATTTTTATATTGTGTGCGATCCTACTCTACACTTTCTGTCATTTTCTAACATTCTTCTTTTTGCAATCTCATTGATCAACCAAATCAAAAGTTAATTTCCATTTCACAACGAATATGTATACAACATTTTACATGAAAAAATTAATTAATATTATTTTCAACTTTAAATAAAAAAAAGGGTCTTTCAAAAGATTTACAATGAAAGGGAGTGTTAAGTTTTTTAAGAACGAATTGTCTACTGAATTGAAAAGAAAGAAAGAAAATATTCGAATCGATTAGCAAGTTGGAAATGAAAAAAAAATCTATATGCTATTGTCGACAAAATCAAACAAGAGAATAATAGTTGGATGAAAATATAAAATATTTCAGAACAAAAATTGTTAGTAAATATTCAATTAATAAAATATACAAATTTATAAATACTTAACATTTAATTAAACTTTCATTTTTATAAAATAAATATAATGTCAACAAAGACAAACACAACGTGCTTAAATTCTTGGTATATGAGATTTTTTTAGTTAAATTTCCTAATCTTCTACTTTTGGGGATAGTGCGCAATGTTCATACTTACACTATAAGCACTTAATCTCCCACTAAAAGCCACAAAAGTCCCTTTAAAACCCCACCACAACATTCTAGTGTGCAAAATTCGGAGCCTCAGGTAATGAATGTTTTCTCACTCAAGATTGTTTTTTCTTGCTTCCTTGTGCACATGTCATGCAACTGTTTTTATCATGAATATTTTAGGAGATTTATCATGTAGATTTTTTTTTTTATATTGGTAAAAGAAATACTTTTTATATTGGGTTTGAAACCAATATAAGAATAAAGAATTTAAAATGTATTAATTTTTTATATCTCTTTCAAAAACTAATATAAAAAATATAATGTTTTATACTGATTAAAGGTGCAATCAGTAAAAAAACAAAATATTTATCTCCTACTTCCATGGACACCACCATCAACAACTCTCACTTTATCTTGAAAGTCGTCGACAAAACCTGCATCTACGCAAAGCTCAACGTTGAACGTCGCATGTGTTGGCAAATCCAAGTCCTTTCAACCCTTTCCTACTCCTCTCACTTTCATTTGCTTCTACATAGCAAAATTCCTCAACACACTTCACCACCTCCATTCTATGGGCATAACATACTGTGACCTTAAACTGAAAAATGTCCTCATCCAAAGTGGCTTCAATGGAGATGCGCTGTGGTTCCGGTTGCTCGCACAAAGTTGCTCCGGTCTGCTTTTCGGAGCTCGTAGTGTTTGCGTTGTTGCAGGTGTTGCTCCTTGATGTTGTGATTTCAAAAGTTGAAGGATTTGAGTTTAGGTTTGTGTTTATAAAAAAAAATAAAAAATAAGAAACTACTTTCTATTAGTTATAATTATAACTAAGAAAATTTTCTTATTTACTGTAACATGTTATTATATTCACTTTTTATATAGGTTATAATTAGAACCGATATAGAAAGTTTTTTTATTTATTAGAAAAATATCATTTCATCTACTTTTTATATTGATTATAATTAGAGTTGATGTAAAAATTTTTTTCTTTATTATAAAAATGTCACCACATCCAAACAGAATAAAAAATATTATTTTATTTATAATTGTGTCACTGTTTATACACAGTTAATTATAATCGAGATAATAATCGGTATAAAAATTTATTTTTTCTAATCAAATATATGAGTCAATTCATGTAAGATATTGATATGGACTCCAACCAAGACTTCATGATAATGAGTTTATTAGTTTTTTTTATATGTGTTGTTCAACATTTTATTTAAGGTGAGACTTAAATTCATATTTAAATTCTTAAATTCTTAAATTCTTAACCTTCTATGATTAATATACAAATTAGTTGTTCTTTTTGAAAATTAAATTTATATTTAGATTTTCAACATTTGATAACAGATAATCAGTAAAGAACATATAATATACAAATCAGTAGAAAGTATAAAGACAATGATAGTAATAAGCTTAGTTAGTATATTGTATTTGTACATACATAGCATTAGAAAGAAAATGAAGCTATTCTTTGCAATGAATGATTTTGATGTTAATTATTTGAAACTTGTTTTTCACATTTCAAGGTTACCACTTGATTTCTAATAGTTAAAGAAGAGAAAAGAAAAGAAGACACAAAAATGGAGTTTTGGGACCTTTTCCTTGTTGCATTAATGCCAGTTTTAAAAGTGTTGCTAATTACTGCATTGGGAACAATCCTTGCAATTGATCGCTTTAACATACTCGGAGAAACTGCCAGGAAAAATCTCAATACTGTAAGTTTAAACATTTTCTTTGTAATTCTTTTCCAATATTTTATATTTATTCAAAACTGCAATTTTATTAATTGCTACTAAGCCATTATTCATTGTAATAACTTATATGAATTTTCTTTTTCTTATAACAGATGGTATATTTTGTCTTTTCTCCAACTCTAGTTTGTAGCAGCTTAGCTGAAACAATAACTCTAAGAAGTGTGGTTAGACTGTAAGTTTGTTTCTTGCTTTCTTCTGCATCATCTTCTTATCAAGCAATAATCTCCATAGATGATGAATTAAGAAAGATGTTTTCACAAATTTTTGTAGGTGGTTCATGCCTGTCAATATTCTTCTCACATTTGTTATTGGAACAGTTCTTGGATTGTTGGTTGTTAAACTAACCAGAGTTCCTAATCATCTGCAAGGCCTTGTCTTAGGATGTTGTGCAGCAGGTAGGTATCACTTATATTTTATTATATTATGTGTTTGAAAACCCAATTTGACAAGAGATTACTAGTCCAGAATAATAGCGTATAAGTCACGCGTATAATGTCTAACTATAGAAAATCCAACATTAAAAATGATTGGTGATAGTTTTGTAAATAAAAGACCAATTTAAAAGTTGGCTCTAGGGGTCCCTGACGTCTAAATCGTTACACACATCGGCCTCCCTTATTGGATGCCAAATATATATGTCGAAAGTTCTACATTGACTAGAGATAAGATCAATTTAGAATAGATAAGTGAGTGCAAATCTTATCTTACAACCTGATTTTATGAAGTTGAGTTAGACTTAAAAGTTCTTGTGAGATTGACTTGAAAGTCTACTTCTTGTGAGATTAAGTTAGACTTAAAAATCTACTTTTTATAGGTTAAGCTAGGCTTAAAAATCTACTTCTTATAATATAATATAACTGATGGTAAATTTCTAGTTTAAATATGTAAAATTGAGTTAGACTTATATCTTTTAATATAATATCTGAACTATTAAAAATCTATTCTAATTATTTTTGTTATCTGTTAAACTATTATTATTTATTATTTGACTATTATCATAAAAATATACTTTTATACTCAACATTTAGAATCTTGGTGAAGTATTTATTATTAGATTATCATGCATGAAAATATACTTTTATACACGAAGGAAATGAAATAAAAATTTCGAATGTAGTAGAAATAAGATAGATATATAAAAGTAGATTCAAACTTTGTTTTATAAGTTAATTTTATAAGATCTTGGAATTAAAATTTTTAATTCAAGATAATAAAATATATGTATGTGTGTATATACGTATATGTTTAGTATATTAATTCTGGATTGGAATGTTTGATGATGCAGGAAATCTGGGAAATTTGCCAATAATTATAGTTCCTGCAGTGTGTAAACAAAGTGGCAATCCTTTTGGAGATATGAATGTTTGCACCAAAAATGCATTAGCGTATGCTTCTCTATCAATGGCGGTATGATATACTAACTTCAGACAAATTTCAAAATTTAGGAATTACGATTCTTAAAGAAAACAAATATAAACATGTGATTAGACATTTATTATTAAGAATGTAGAATTAAAGTACGTTGTCATACAATTATTAGTTACATAAGAGAAATTTTCAACAAAATTAAAAAGGTTAAATCATTTTCAAGGACTAAAAATATATATCAATTTTCAAAAAAATAAAATGATCTTTAAACTTTATAACTATTTAAACTTTAACTATGTTTTTCTGTATTTTTTTTTTCAGTTAGGATCAGTTTACATCTGGTCTTATGCATACAACCTTGTTCGATTATATGCACCAAAAATTTGCAACGAAGCCAAAATTGCAGAAAATTCCATGGAGAATCCAATGTCCATAACAAAAACTGACCCAGAGAACCCTTCAACATGTTCCACAGGATTACCATTTGTCAGTGTTGTTGGTGATAAATCACAATCTCAAGATCATGTCAAGAACTTTGAAATCCACTCTACAAACTCTAATCATGGAAAAACAGGGGAGGTATGTGTAATACATTTTTTCAAAATATTATATATATATATATA